GCCCGCGCTCGCCCCGCTCCCCGCTCCGGGACTCGGCCCGCGCTCGCCCCGCTCCCCGCTCCGGGACTCGGCCCGCGCTCGCCCCGCTCCCCGCTCCGGGACTCGGCCCGCGCTCGCCCCGCTCCCCGCTCCGGGACTCGGCCCGCGCTCGCTCCGCTCCCCGCTCCGGGACTCGGCCCGCGACTCGTCTCCCTTTGTCTCACCTCTATTCTCCAGGTAGGGTAGTTTAAGAATGAAAAATTGGGGATGGGTGAGGAGGGGGAAAGAAAAACTGCTGCAAAGAGCAAAAAAAAAGAGAAGAAGGAAAAGGAACTGGTGAGCAGAGGAACTGTGGCTGCAGCACCTTACTCTGCCTCTATCTTGCAAATGTCACATCTGCTTTTTACCAGTGACACAGTGAGATGGCTCGCCAAAAAGAAATTAGATTCCAATTGACGCTCCTTATTGCTTGTTAAGTGCCTTGTTAAAAGCCGACCTCCTTGCGTGTTGCAATCTTACCAATCTCTTTCTCTATACAAACTAGCCACTGAGAAAACTTGACATGGAAACAGGAAACACACGGGTTTGGTGAGTTCAATCTATCTCTTGCTCCAAAAGATCCCCATGTTGAACACTGGGTACTGACATCTTGGGCATGCTCCATGGACTCCATGGTTGTACACATTCTACAAGCACAGACATTCACATTTACCACATTTTAGCCTCTGTGAACCCTCAAGGCACATGTCCAATCCACTTAGAGAATTCTTCTGGACTTCAGTGATTGCACTTGGAGCTGCACTGGCAACTATCATTGTAATGCTGCAGCAAGGACTTTTTGTGTTCAAGTATACATCCGCAACTCATGGTTTGACCAGGCCACATCTCTAGCTCGTTTCCTCACTGTCAGAATACTCAGTCACTCTGAGCTTACCTGGTTCCTACACCATAACTCATTTGGTTGGATGGCCAGAACTCGAGTTCTGAAGAAGGGTCACCGGACCCAAAACATTAACACTGGTTCCTCTCCACAGATGCTGCCAGACCTGTGAGCTTTTCCAGCAATTTCTGTTTTTGTTTTTTTTTTTCTCTCTTCATCTATGTTGCCAAGGTCCCGCAGAATCTGATGCATTACAATAAGGTCACCTTTCATTCTTCTAAATGCTATAGAGAAGAGGCCCATAAGAAAGATCCCTCCATTCCCGGATAAACCTTGTGAACTGCCTCCAATGTAAGTATATGTTTCCTTAGATAAGGAGAACAAAATTGCTCACTGTATTGTGAAGTGGTCTGACCTGTAACTTTTATAGTTTTAGTAAGACCTCCCTATTTTTCTACGCCATTCCCTTTGAAAGGAGGCTAAATGTCCATTTGTCCTATTTTCTGTGAACATTTTGTTATTTATCCACAATGTCCCCCAAATCCCTCTGAGCTGCAAATGTCTGCTGTCTTTCTCTATTTGAATAATATTCAGATCCTCTGTTCCTCCTTAGAAAGTGCATAACCTCTCAGTTTCCCACACTATATTACATCTGACAGTCTTTTTCCCATTCATTTCACCTGTTTATATCCCTCTGTAGAATTTTTGTGTCATTCTTGTGAGATTACTACCAACCCATGCTTTATATCTGTAGCTACTTCGATTAATATCCACAGAAGTGAGCCATACCATTTCCTCTGGCAGATTATTCCACATAAAAACCATCATCTGTGTGAAAAAGTTACTCCTCACTTTTAAATTTTTCTCCTCTCACCTTAAAATTATGCCCTCTAGTTTTGAACACCCCTACTCTGGGGAAAAGACATTTGCTAGTCACCTTATCTATGCCCCTCATGATTTTATAAACCTCTGTAAGGTCACCCTTCAATCTTCTACGCTCCAGTGAAAAATGTCCCAGTTTTTCCAGCCTCTCCTTATAATCCAAAACCTCCAGTCTTGGTAACATCCTTGTAAAGCTTTTCCGCACCCTCTCCAATTTCATAATATCTTTCCTGTAGCAGGGGAACCAGAAGGGTACATAGTACACCAAACCTGGCCTCACCAACATCCTGTACAACTGCAACATGACATCCCAACTTCTATACTCAATGGTCTGAGCAACGAAGGCAAGTGTGCCAAACACCTTCTTCAGCACACTGTGATGCCACTTTCAAGGAACTATGTACTTGAACTGGGTCTCTCTGTTCAACATTTTTGGAATACTATTAGTGTCTTCTACCGTGAAAACTGATGTAAAGTATTTATTCAACTCCTCTGCCTTTTCCTGGTTCCCCAATATTACTAGAGTCATAAAGTCGTACAGCATGGAAACAAGGAGTTTATGATCACTTTGGCCTCTCTCTTTCTTTTTATATATTTAACGAACTTCTTACTGTCCAATTTGATATTACTTACTAGTTTCCCCTCATAGTTTATATTCCCCCTTTTTTGGTCATCTATTGTTTTTAAATTTTCCAATCCTCTTGCTTATCATTAATATTTGCCACACTGTACGTTTTTTTTCTTTCAATTTGATACCATTCTTAACTTTCTTGGTTAACCATGTTTGGTTTGTTCCCATCCCAGAATCCTTCTTCCTCACTAGGATATCTCTTCTCAGTTATGAATTATTTTCTGAAATGTCTGCAATTGTTCATCAACTGTCTTTTGTGCTAAACTTCTTTTTCAGTCCAATCCAACTAATTCTGCCCACATACCCTTGTTATTCTTGTCACAGTTTTTTCTGACCTCAGTTTGTGAAACTAAAAACTAAATTCTAGCACCTTACAGTCACTGTTTCCTAGGGCATCTTTTAGACCAATGTCATTGATGAAACCTGCCTCATCACATATTATCAGATCTAAGATAGCTTGAACCCTGTTTTGGTCTCTTCAGTGCTGTCGGAAACTGCTCTGACTGTATTCTATGATTTTTTTTCCTTGTGGCTACCTCTGCCAATTTGATTTTCCCAATCTACATTAACATTAAATTTACCTATAATTGGTCACACAGTACTGCCTATTTTCATATGCTCACAGTATCTCCTGATTTCATCTCTGTACTACAGAATAACTAACTGCAGACCAGTCCCTCCTCTTCTTCCCCGTTTCCCTTATTTTTCGCCACCACCTATATGGATTTTACATCTTCCAACCCAAGCTCATTTCTTGCAATCATACTTACTCAATCCCTTACTAACAAAACTACCCTACCACCCTTTCCTTCCTGTCTGTACTTTCAAAAAGTCACATAGCTCTATCTATTTAGTTCTTAGGTTTGATCTCCTTGTGACTATGTCTCCATGATGGCTCCTACCCATTAACCTGTGCTTGTGGCGTGCATTCACTTGTTTTCTTTTAAATACTATGCAGATTAAAATAAAAATACATTAATTTTGCCTGTTTATCCTTTCTCCTACTTTGACCTTATTTGCTGTTGGTTTGTTTTATGGTTGTACATTCTGTCCCTTTCTGACCCCTCTTGATATCAATACCTACAAGCTGCTCTGCAAACCCCATATCCTTTTGCCTTGTAAGCTGACTTACCTCCCTGGCTGGATCAACTTTCGAAAAATTGATTTTTCAATTTCACTGATTTTTATTTTAACCAGTGATCAATTAATTTTGTAGAAAAAAAATCAGTGAAATTCAAAATCGATTACCATGTAATTAATTTCCATGTAATATAATTAATTTACCAACAAGTAATTTACCAGTAATTACCATGCCATTAAACAAATGCTTACACTGTATTGGATATTGTTCTGCCTTGTTCAGTGGGTATACCAGAAGTTTACAATAACTTGATCAAATCATCAATTTCGTTTTCATTCATGAATAACAATTAAACCTGGAGTATTTTGAACCTTGATTTTTGAATTTCTAAGAATACAGAAGTATTTCTTCAAAAATCATAAAAGATCTAAAAGTAAGCGATTTTCTAACTAAGACATCCAAGCCCAGAAGTAAAATAATTCGTGGTTTATTAAAGCACACCATTTCACATAAATCTACGAATGGATCTGAACAACGGCAACAAAATATCCAGGCTTAATTTTATTGAACTGTTACAAATTGTGGGCAAAAGTTTCCAGTTCAGAACGCAAATCCAACACTAATACTTTGATCGAGGACTCCGCGTATATGTAGAATGCTCACTCGTCTTCCAAAATGAAACAGTTGTTTCAGGCAGAGGCTGGAATGCCAAAGGACACACACACAAAAAAAACCTTATTTCTTCGGCCCATCTGAAACACAGCAGGGATGTGCGCTGCAGCCCTGTAAAGATGACTTTTAGGCTGGTCTGCGCTCAGACTTTGCTTTAACCAACATTTCTCCATTGACTTGCATTCAGGGTTGCCTGGAGTTGTGATGGCGCGTTGGGATAGTGGAACTGGATCGCCGCGCTGTACTTGGAGGGGACGTTTTGTAGCGACTCGGAGTGAGGAGCGGCTCGGCATCGGCGCTGCAGCTTCGGTTCGGGGGACACCTTGATATAGGAGTGGCATCCTCTGTAAACAGGTGACAGCGAGTTGTGTGGGGTCTCGTATAAGGAGACGGTCGGGTCACCGTGGCAGAACGAGACGCGGCGAATGGGTTTCACAGCCGCTGTTGGGGCACATGGCGCTCCTGAAATGTTGGACCTTTTGGGGACCACTTTCATGTTAGAACCACAGGCTGACGCCTGGTTGGACATTGGTGAGGCAGGTCCTACATGAGGTTGCTTCCTGTTCCATGATTTCGGGAACGGAGTGCATGTTAACTGAGAACAATTAGTGTCAAGTAAATTCTTCAGCATAGAAGTTTCCAATTTGGGAGCTGGAAGACCGCGGTAGGCGAGCTCTACGACCAGAGTGTTCCCATCAGGCGTGGTAAGCTTCAAAGTACTTGGGTCCGTACCTTGGGGGAGGCAGAACTTCTTAGAAAACCCACGGTAGTTGCATCTGATCATCCCATTGTTCTCTTCAATAACCTCAGCTCTGTTTCCGGAGATTGTTATGACTCTGTCTTTGACAAATGCTTCCACACTCTCCAGCAAAACATCCTCCAGATCTAAATAGAAGGTGAACTTTCCCAATGCCTTGCAGTTGTTGCTCATTCCTCTTTTCTGTTGTTCAAATGTGGTCTCGGCCTGCGATCTGGATACATGGCCACATCACATGTTTTTTGGAAAGGTCACAGGGAGGTAACTGTCTTTCCCTACGCCACTGATTTGTAAGCGTGAGATCACACACGCTAGCACACTTTTGTCATGAAAACTGCTGAGATACAGCTCAAGTATCTTTAACTGCCTTTGCCAAGCGCCCTTTGCAGCTAGTAATAATTCGGTGTTTTACGTTAAACAACTTTGAGAAACCTGATCACTGCTCAAAATCTGAAACACAACACTGAAAAATACAGTAGATGTTAACACCTTGAAGTGAACATTATTCACACTTAGGTGATTAAATAGTATCTTTCTTGTTATAAGTTCATACTCAGCGGCTTAACATATGACCGTTTTAAGGTACCGTTGGGACTGCAGGGTGTTCCTAAGATTAGATTAAAGGAGCCTTGTTACCTTCGATCTCCAGAAAAGTTGAACGCATATGTAGAATGCAAAAAAAGGGTAACTGTCCTGTGTATGGTAGATATCATTGTAAGTGTTTTAGTGGGCCAACACAACGTGAATATATGTTATAGTTCAGAGCACTAAGAACCTAAACCACATGAGACCATGCAACAATTCCTCAGGGTAATAACATCCCACTCCTTACCTTGTGATGGAGGGAACATCATTGGTGAGGCAACTGAAATCGGTTGGGCCTAGGATTCTACCTGTGGAATGCCGATACAAAGGTCCTTGTGAGATGTTAGGCTTGCAATACAATTGCCATCATCTTGCTTTTTGTAAGTTATAATTCTAACCAGAGAAGAGTTTTCCTCTTAATTCCCATTGACTTCTGTTTCACCTAATGAGGGAGCAGTGTTCCGAAAGCTTGTGATTTCAAATAAACCTGTTGGACTATAACCTGGTGTTGTGTGACTTCTGTTTAGTTAGTACTTCATGATGCCAAACTCAGTCACATGCTGTCTTGATGTCAAGAGCAGTCACTTTGATTTCCCTTCTGATATTCAGCTCTTTTACGCATGTTTGGCCTAAAGCTGAAATGAGGTCAGGTGTAGCCTTTTGGAGCCCAAACTGAGCATTGGTGAGTAGGTCATTGTTTTATCTGTATCACAATCTGTATCAATAGCACCATTTAACACTTCATTCATATTGTTAGGAGACATAGGCAGTAATTGGCAGGGTTGGATTTGAACTATTTTTCTTCTGGAAATGAAAAACCTGGACAATTTTCGTCATTGTTGACATTTTTGTAGTTGTACTGAACAGATTTGCTGGAAATGCAACTCATTCTGGAGGCAAAGTTGTTACTGATGCTGTTGGAATGTTCGCAGAACCTACAGTATTTTTAGTTTAATCCATTGGCTTCTGCCACTCCTTGATATCAGGATAAGTGAATTGAATTGGCTGAAGATTAACATTTGAGATACTGGGGACCTCAGTACGAGGCTGAAGTGGAACACCTACTCAAAACTATTCAGGCTAAAGAGGATAGCAAATGCTTCAGGTTTGTCTCCTATCATTTCAGATTGGGGTATTTGTGGTGTCCCCTCCTCCTCCTCCAATCATTGTTTAGTTATCCACAACCATTCACGAGTGGCTTAGATCTGATTAATTGGTTGTAGAATTACTTATCAGTTTATTGTGAACTGTTCTCATTAGGTATTTCTGGGTGCTGCTCTTGTTATGCTGATCCACACTACTCATTGAACCAGGGTTTAATTGTGATATTAGTATGATTGTCATGAGAATAGAGATTGTGGTTGAATACAATGCTGCAGGTGCTGATTATCCAGTGGCTCACATCGATACCCAATATTGCAATGGGAGGTCAGTTCTGAATCGATTCCATTCAGCACAATGGTAACTGCCTCATAACATGATAGATAGTACCTTAGTTGTCTAAACAGGACTTTGTCTCCACTAGAACTGTAACGAGGTGACTCATATCAGAACATGGTGGTCACATGCATCTGTGACAGAGAGATTGATGAAGATCAGATTGAATAGGTTTGTTTTCCCTCCCGTTGGTTCCTACACAACTTGCTGCAGGTGCAGTCTAGCAGGTATGTCTGAAAGGATTTGGCCAGCTTCAACAGTAGTGGTGCTACCAAAGTGCTTCTGTTGATAAATATTGAAATCCCACACCCAGAGTGCATTCAAGCCCTTTCTATCTTCACTGCTTCTTACATTTGGAGTTCAAAATAGAGCAGTACTGATTCTCCAGCTGAGAGAGGACTGTAGGTGACAGGAAATATCATTGTCCATCATTGACATGATATCGTGATAATTCATTTAGTCCAGAGTCAATGTCAAGGACACCATTGGCAACATCTGCCTAACAATGCCATCATCTCTGGTGGATCTGTTCTGCCTGTAATAGAAGAATCTGGGAAATTGTAAGTATGATTTGTTGAGTATGATTGTTGCTTTACTTGTCCTTGGACAATGCTCCTAATTTTGTCATAAGCACTAAGGTGTTATGAAGGAAGATTTTGCATGATTAATTGGACGGAGTATGCTATTATCATGTAGAAGAGTTAGAGAAATTACAAATGTAAGTGAGTAGAGACCGAACAAGGAGAGAAAAAGTAGAGTCAAGACAGAAATAAATAAATTCATTAGAGCAGGGACATGCTGCAACAATGGGTCTGCCAGGTTAGTCCTGCTGGTGGATTTTGGGAAGAAGGTAGAAGAGAGCTCTGTGGGGTTGGCTAACTATGAGTTTGGAAGCTGTGGAAGGGAAATCTCCAGAGGAGAGGAGGTGAGTGACTGCTGGAAACAACAGCCCAATGTTCAGTAGTAGGGTCATGGTTTGGGGAGATAGAATGAAGTGCCTGAGAGATGGAATTCAGCCTCTGCAAGGCAGAGGTCGGCATGCCAGATGACAACAGTAACTACTTAGTTAGCTGGTTTGATAACAAAGCCAGGGTTAGACCTGAAGGAATGCAGTACATTAAGTTAAGGGAGACAAGTTAGAGTGGGCCGAGGGGAGTAGGGAAATTAAGGGAGTTAAAATCACCTGTTCCCAATGAAGAGATCAAGGCCAAGTAAGAGGCTAGAGGGAGGGGTCCGGGTTGGGAGACAATATTGGAGAGGGTGGGAAGGTCCCTGGAGGTGGGCTGATGATTCTAGTCCAAAGAGGTTAGCACAGCAGAGAAAGGAATGGAACAGGAGTTCACTCAAAATTCATTGAGGTGGTTGGGGGGTGGTGGGGTGGCGGGTGCGGGGGCTTACAGTGATAAAACTAGGTCCTTTGATGGACATAGATTATTCAGCATCAAAGGGAGGAAGGTCAGAGAGTGTATTGAATACATAACAAGAGGTGGGATTAGAAGAGAAGATGGAATCTTGGGGAAGATGAGGGGAGGAAGAAACCTTTAGAGCTTACATTTCTTAACACCAGAAAGGATGACAATGTGTTTCCTCTTATTGAGGTATAAAATGAAACAATAAATGAAATGGAACTGGGGACCAGGACCACTTTGAGTAGTGGGAGGCTTGCACACATCCTCACTCCCAAAGCACAATGCAAATGCAACCACTCCTTTTTAGTCTCATTGTAAACCAGAAATAAATTTTCTCAGAAATCTTTTAGTAGCCTACAGCTTTCAGACAAAGTGCAAAAGCATTGTAGACTATGGAGAAAAAGAATTACAGCTTAGACATTCTATCTGACTTGAAAACAGATGCACTGGGTGCCAAGAATATACTGAGTACATGTGTTGACATCGCATAAGGCACCATGATTTCACTTGAGCACAAATAAACCATAAAGTAGTGCAAATAACCAACACAGGCTTCAAAAATTTCAACTTATGCGGATAGCAGTCGAACAATGCAAACTAATATGGACACTAAAGATGGATTCAAATTTACAAGTTTGGATTTTTCTTGGATCCACTGCCACTTTCTGACAGATGCTAAAGGCATCCTAACTGTACAAATACCAAAGGTCCATGAACTAAAACAAAGAACTGTGGATGCTGGATAACTGAAACAAAAACAAAAGTGCTGAAGAAACTCAGCAGGTTTGGTAGCATTTGTGGAGAGAAAACCAGAGTTAACGTTTTGACTCTTCATCAGCACTGCTGTCCAGTAACAATATCATACAGGTGACCATCACAAAGAAAGCTGCACATGTTTTCAAATCTTCTTGCCCACTTGAAGAAAGCAGGCTGCATATCATGGACTGAGGCAGATGTAGTGCTGTGGTGATTGGAAATGTCAAATGAGTCATCACACAAGGATTTTCCTTCTCTCTCATTTACTTCTATAATATCTTACTTTCACTACCTGACAAATTGCTGCTGCTTTTCTCTGATTTCCCTTAGACTACAGGCTATTTTGAGGTTTTTGCAAAGATTTGTAGCTCGGATTGTGGATGAGGTTGTTGACTTGCTCACCAAGCTGG